CATCCTCATCTCTAATCTTAATGAAATTCAATTTTTCCCTTCTATTCTATATTATACCCCTTCCCATTGTCATCTATTTTTATATCCATCCTCACATTGGTTAATTATGTAATTATGTAATACAGTTGTTTAATACAAATTCAACATTTTAATATAAATCAATTAGTTATATAACTATCTTTTTTGTATATTAATCAATATGAACATGAATATTCCAATTATTTCCATGCAATCCAATTTCTTACAAATCAATTAATTATATTTACCAATAATAATAAACCAAATAATTTCCCCCATATATTCCTCCAAACCACAACTTAACCATTTCTGCTTTCAACACAATATACAATTAATATTATCTCAATTATTACAATTTCCTAGTTAAATAGAGCTTTTTTTCTTTTGTGTTTTAAAATCTTGAACTCTCCTCTTTTGCCCTAAATTTCCCATTGTTTGCACCTACCTTTTTTGGTGAGGAAAAAGAAAAGAAATCTGCTGCCTAATTTTCCAACGTTGCAGCAAACAAGCCAACAGCCTGTTTCACTTTCAGTTTCGTTTTGAGCTTGGTTTGCACAAGGAGAAAAAAAAATCTGCTCGAGCAATTTAGCAAGCAGCAAGAGCCCTGCACAAAACAGCTGAGAGCAAATCAGCTGAGTGGGGAAGCCGAGCTAATCAACGTGCTAATTAACCTACACGGAAGCTATAAGGGGCTGTTTTTTCTATTTTTGCAGGCATTGGTCTACTTATTTGTTTTCTTTTAACACAGAACAGCTGTAGGGCGGCCCTTTGAAGCCCCGCGGCAAGAGTTTAAACAGTTTTTTTTCCTCTAGCCATCAGCTGGGACTCAGGAGGCAGCTGGGACTCAGGAGGCAGAATGAAAAATTCGGACTTTTTTTAAAACGCCACGGGACACGGGACAAATTGCTAAAAATCGGGACTGTCCCGCCAAAAGCGGGACGTCTGGTCACCTTAATGTAATCCCTACACAAATCAGTGGTGATTCCCCCCCCATACAATATTTATGTTCACTTTTCATTATTTGAGTTTCCTCATTTTATACCTTTTCTCAAGGCACATATGAGATGCGAACTCCCCTAAAAGACCTAAGTGTCTTAAACCTAGGGTTTTGTTCCTGTTATTTGTGACAGTTGCTTCTTACTTTGCAGCCTCACTGATGGACATTGGGGGGTTTCAAGTGTTTTTTGACAGAACAACACGTCATGATATATCATGTCCATTTCTTCTTTTCTTTTGCCCTCATTTCAACTCCTTCACTGTGTGGATTGGAGATCCTGAGGGAAGGAGGCTTCCATCAAATCTCCCTCTGTTTTCTTGAGGAGGATTTCTCAGGAGGTAATATAAAGTCCTCCTATTCCCAATAGAGATCTATAGAATACTTCTTCCTATTTTATTATTTATGTATTTTAAAATTGGTTCTCCCTTGAATGGAAGTGTAGAAAGATGTTGACTCTTCTTTATTGTGGAGCTGAAATGGTGGTTAAAATTCCAATTCAAGTAAGAGGATGTAGGAAGTTAGCACCCATCCCTCTCCTAGAAAAATGAAATATTCTAGGAAATATTAAAAAGGCAGAATATTATATTTCCCTGGATGAGAAATGGAGAAACATGTTTTTAGGCAGGAAGCAGACTCACTCTTAATAGCCCCCACCATCCTCAATAGCCCACAGCAGATGTCCACACTTAAGAGGTAAAGAGATAGCTCGGTGTATTAATAGGCAAATGCCCTCACCCAAGATCCAACAAAGGTAGGATTAGCCCTCTACCCATCTCACCACATGGCACCTGGAAAGATTACATTACCCAGCAAGGCTCAACCAAGCCTGGGACTCAGGACAGCCTACAGAGGTGCCCCTGTATGGCCCCATGGGAGTCTGAAAACCAATCAGAATACAAGCTCAAATTCAAAAGCGCAGAGAGGGCATAAAACTAGGGCACTCTCAGCATCTCTCCCCCCCCCTTTTTTTTGTCCTTCACCCAACATCTTCAAGGCATGTGATCCTGTCCACCATTAAAACCTTCTTTCCAACCAACTTCCATGAATCCAGTGTCTTTTTCCCCACTTGGAACTGAACCCAGAAGGACATTTCTTACAACAAGGAGGAAACTTATTAGATTTGTATTCTCTCTTCAGAAAGTCCAGCTAGTCTAGATAGTACTGTCACCTTTCATTTTTCCTTCTTGTTTGGGTTGAGTAATTCTTTTACAGAATAGCAACAGCAACAGCACTTAGACTTATATACCGCTTCATAGTGCTCTCACAGCCCTCTCTAAGCGGTTTACAGAGTCATCCTATTGTCCTCAACAATCTGGGTCCTCATTTTACCCACCTCAGAAGGATGGAAGGCTGAGTCAACCTCGACCGGGTGAGATTTGAACTGCTGAACTGCAGCTAGCAGTCAGCTGAGGTAGTCTGCGGTGCAGTACTCTAACCTCTCGGCTCTTACAAAATAACAGAGTTGAAGATCTCCTAGTCCACCCCTCTGCTCAGGCAGGAAACCCTATACCGTTTCAGACAAACGTTTGTCCAATCTCTTCTTTAAAAAAGTGTTCTGAAGGCAAGTTATTCCACTGATCTATTGTTCTAACCGTCAGGAAAATGGTTAATTCTAAGCAACAAAAATTTAAGAGAGATTCTTATTAGGAAATGTTATTTTTTAAAACTAGTACTTTTGAATACAATACTCTTTACTGCAGCATAACACTGTCAAAAGCAGTTGGATTGTGAAGGCTTCCTGATCAAGGGGAGCATGACTGCCCTCTCTTGGTTTCCCATGGGAAATGCACCATTCTCCACTTCTTCCCTCAGCATCTTTGGCCCACAGAAAACCCACCAGGGTGTTGACTCTGCAAAGAGAAGGGGGGAACACCATGTACTTCAGCATTGGGCCACTGTTGCAGATTCGGAAAGTAGTGAGTTCATAAGGCTTGCCTCCTTAGGATGCTGGACTCCCTCTCTTTAACCCTTTGAGCTTCGCAGGCAGTTAAAAAGGCCACAAGAACATCTTAAAGGGAAGCGAGCCAGAGGTGGAAAGGGCTGGTGTGTGTATGTGGGTGTGTGGAGGTTCTTTCCATATGTAAGAAGAAATCAAACCCACGTTATCCCAAATAAAATATTAACCGTAAGAAAAAAAGCCCTTAGAATTATTATCCATAAAGAAAAGCCTCAGAAAAGCCAAAAGACCACGGCGCTAATAAAAACCGCCTGAAGCCCAATCCATATTCCAGCCAGATGCCTAAAGAAAACATTGTAACAAGAAGCTAACTGCAAAGGGATGCAGGCACTTAAGGCGATAAGGAGCTTATTGAAAGAGCAACCCAACTATCTAGATGGCTCCATTCATAAGCAAAGCAAATACTGCCTGCAGAAGTCCACTCATGACAGGATATTTCAAAACCCCTTACAGCAATTTTGACAGCTAACAAAAGTAGAGTGATAGGATTAGAGCAAGCAGTCCCTCACCCTAAAATCTAACACAGGACAGAGCCATCAGCCACAATAAGAATTACCTAACTCCCTTTCAGAACACAAAGCCCATATTGCATAAATCCCAAACTTCAAAGTTACAGAATCATATAAAAACCCTTCCACTCACCCAGCTTGTTGGTCAGCTGCCCCAGAACTGCATGCTGTGTACATCCAGATACAATCATTTGCATATTGGGAGTGGAGACCTCCAGATCCCATGTTTCCCTACCACCCTATTCAATGATACTAACAGGTAGAGGGGAAAGCAGAGCTCCAGATGAGGAATAAATTCAGGTCCCAGAAAAGAAAATGGGGGGGGACTGTATAGTCTTTTCTGCCCCATTTCTTCGGAAAAGCTCCTAGATAGGGGGAGTGGGTAAGCTTGCATGGCAAAGGTTGAGCAGGAAATCAGAAAAGATTAGCAAGGAAGATTGCAAAAGATTATGCCTGCATTTTCATTATGCACTGGATGGCACTAAACTAGGTTTGGTGCCTCTGCAGTTCAATTTGTCACAGGAGGGTAGTGAACCAGATCATCATGTTAAGCCTTAATGTTTCATGTGAACTGAGCCCCTCAATTTGGTTGACCTGTTTGTGTTCAGGGCATGTTGTGTGAACTTGCATGGCTGAGCGTAGGAAGAAAGAGAAATGGAGCGTCCTAAATTAGGGTAAATTGACTGGCATTTCATTTGCTGTGGGCTGAATTTTCATCATTTGCTAAATACACTGAATATTCTAGGTGGAAGTCATCAATTTACCATCTCAGAAAAGCCCTTCTATGGGGATGAGTTTTGTTGAATGGTTGTTGAGGGATTAATGGCTTGTTCTTGTATTCTAGACTAGAATGAACATTGCTATACTTGGAAAAGCATTGAAAAGGACGTTCAGTAACTAGATTATTATTTCCCTTTCCCTCAGGAAATCGGCTGACGTATATAGGTAGTCCTTGACTGAGCATGGAAGGGTAGGAAGAAGTTGACTCATCCATATGGTAGAGTTGAGATAGTGGTCAAAATTCCAACTCAATGCAAGATGAGGAAATTTTTTAGATTTGTATTCTCCCTTTCCTTTGGAAAATCAAGCTGGAGTACATTGTACAGTCACCTTTTCTTCTTGTTTCGGTTGACTTATTCCTTTCTTCCTCAGCAACAGATTTAAATGAGATTCTTGTTAAGAAATTTTTCCCCTAATACCAGTACTTTAAATACAATGCTATTTACTACAGTAGAACATTGCCAAAAGCTTCCCAATCAAGGAGCCCCTTCCTAGGGGAGTGCACCATTTCTCCGCTCTTTCCATGAGCACCTTCCGTGCACAGAAAATCCACCAGGGGGGGCACTTCAGCTTTGGGCCCCTGTTAAAATAGGAAGAAAGTAAAATAGGAAGAAAATCTTTCAGTTTTTGCCTTTCTAGGATCCTGGAGTCTCTCTCACTTTAACCCTTTGAGCTTTGCAGGAAGTTATAAAGGCGGCCAGAAAGTCTTAAGGATCCAGAAGTGGAAAAGGTAGGTGTGTGTGGTGTGTCTGTGTGTTCTTCTTATAGAAAGGGAGGCAGAGGATTCTCACTCTAAAAAAAAGGGGAAGAGAAACCTTCCTAGTCCTCATCCAGGTTCAGTTTTAGGGGGTTTGAGGAGTGGGAGATCCCTTCCTGAGACCCCCTGTTTCCCTCCCTCCTAACCCCCCTTTCCCATGGTTGTAAGAGGCATGGGGGAAAGCAGAGACCACGCATGCTGCCCTGGGGAATAAATCCAGATCCTCGGAAAGGAAAGTGGGGGAACCTGGAGAGTCCTTCGCACCCCATTTCCTGGTGAAGGCTCCTGTGTAAGGGGAGAGCTTGCATGGGAAATCTCAAGACGGAAATAAGAAATATATTTGCAAGGAAGAGAAGCAGATTGTTGTCCCCAATTCGGGTCTGAGCCTGGTGCAGAAGCCAATGATGGACGCCAGATACGAAGTGCAGGTTTTCCTATTGCTCTTTATTGGAGTACTCCAAGGAAAAGGGCTCCTGGCAGTGGTGAAATCCAATTTTTTTTACTACCGGCTCTGTGGGCGTGGCTTGGTGGGCATGGTGTGGCTTGGTGGGCGTGGCAGGGGAAGGATACTGCAAAATCCCCATTCCCATCCCACTCCTGGGGCCAGACGGAGGTAGTATTTGCTGGTTCTCTGAACTACTCAAAATTTCCGCTACTGGTTCTCCAGAACCTCTCAGAACCTGTTGGATTTCACCCCTGGCTCCTGGCCAAAATGCCAAGAACCAGGAACAAAGGATTAAGAAAGCTTTATACATTAAAGAAATGAAAAAACATTTGGAGGTACACAACTTTCCTTCCACTAATTTAGAATTGTTTTATAGGACAGAGAAAGAATGGCAAGCCGTCCTTTAGCAAGTGGGGGAAGTGGAAAAGGGCCTTCCGGTGCTCAGTCTGGAATCCATGGGGAGATCTGGGCAAGAACTGGGCAGAAGATCCTGGAGGAGAAAACCACCCTTTCAGAAGTTCAGCCCTGGAACTTCAGGAGCTTCCAATACAAGGAGGATGAGGGTCCCCGAGGACTTTGCAGCCGACTCCATTCCTTTTGTAGTCGATGGTTGAGACCAGAAAAGCACACAAAAGCGCAGGTGCTGGACCTGGTGGTTCTGGAGCAGTTCCTGGCGCTTCTGCCCCTGCAGATGGAGAGCTGGGTGCGGGAGTGTGGAGCAGAAACCAGCTCCCAGGCGGTGGCCCTGGTGGAAGGCTTCCTCCTGAGCCAGGCGGAGGAGGAGAAGGAGAAGGTTGAGTTGCAGGTGAGAGGACGTCCTCTCGGGACTCCAGAAAAAGTTGAATATAATAAACAAGAAGTTCACATTTTTGTATCCTTTTCATAGTATCTTATCAAGATATAAAATACAAAAAAATGAAAATAGTAGGAAATGGTGGGTGGGAAGGGAAGGGAAAGAAGTTTAGGGGAAAGGGGGAAAAAAGAAACAAAACCATTGACTTTTTTTTAGCAAAGTCACATAAAATGAAAACATTACAGTTTCAGTGTTTTACTTTTACATATTTAATATGTACTAGCAAATTCTGTAAAAACAAACTTACATAATCAGAAAAACTCAAAGTTTCATTTTTTTTTCATTTTTTTTCCATCTCAAAAACAAAATCCAGCAATGGTTCCAAAGAAACAAGGTTCGGTGTGGTCTTTTCTTTAACTAAAGCAGTTAATTTTTCCATCTCTGCTAATTCCATCAGTTTTTCCAACCACTTCTCCATTTGGCAATTAAAGTATCCTTCCCTTTTATGCATAAAGCATTCTTGCTGCTCTCAACATAGATAACAGCAAAATTCATGATTGTTTTTCAATCTCTTTGTCTATTAAACCTAAAAGAAAAGTCTCTGAGTCCCACTTTGAGAATCTTCTGCAGTAAAATATAAATCTTACCCCAGTATTTCTTTGCTTTGTCACAAGTCCAGCAGAGATGGTAAAAAGGTCTTTTTTTACATTTAAATTTCAAACATGTATTTGAAATTTCTTTATATATCTTTGGTAGTTTATCAGTGTTAACTAGAAGGATACATCATTTTATAAAAGATTTATTTTAAATTATAATTGAATACAAATATTAAACTCTTCAACTACATCTTCCCCTTGTTGAGGCATTATATTATACACAAAAATCTTTGCCTTTGGATCAATGTATTCAAATTTTGATGTCTTCTTACCAGACTTTCCTGGTACTTTGCATACTATGTGGAGATGCTTCACTGATCTTTGTGTAGTTCCCTTATCCATTCTAGAAGAAAGATTTTGCACAGGGATTTCTTTCTTTCTTCCCAGCCTTATTGATCGACACCGAGTAATTTGCAGTGGTATTCACTGGAAAAGAAACCACTTCATGATGTGTGATGTCCATTAATTCTTTTCTCCTATTTCAAGTCCTTCGAAATGGAGATCAGAGATCCTGAGAGAAAGAGGCATCTGTCAAATCTCCCTCAAGAACTGTCTTTCAGGGGGATCCCTCAGGGAGATCCAATTCAGGACACCTCAGGAGGTAATATAAGGTCCTTCCACTCGTTTGATCAATCCTAATTTTCTCATCTTCTCAGTGTTCTCTCCTCTATAGCATTCCTCCACCCACTTTACTAATGATGCTTTTTGAAATTCTGTCTCCCTTACAGGGAAGAATAGAAGGAAGTTGATTCTTTGTTCTGGGGGAGCAGAAACCAGGATTGAACCTCCAACTCAGGCAAGAGAACTACATTCATTTACTAGATTTTCATTTTCCATTTCCCTCAGGAAATCAGAGGATGTGGACAGCATAGGTAGTAGTCGTAAGTGTGGAAAATGGGCATGTCATTTTTTTCGCTGCTGTGTAACTTTGAACAGTCACTAAAAACTAAAAGCTGTTGTTAGTCGGGAACTACATGTAGTGTCGTCTGCCATTTTGCCCTCTGCTTTTGGTTGGAGATTCTTTTTAGGAATTTTTTTTAAGACTAGTATTTTAAAAACAAAACTCTTTTGCTAATTACCATGTTTACCCCAAAATAAGCCCCGGTCTTATATTCTCTTAGGCCCTGAAATAAGCACTCAGGCTTATTTTTGGGGGTGTCTTATTTTTTTCACATAAGGAGGTGGCGAGCTCGTTGGCCCAGCCCTCTCCATCCCACCGCCTGCCTGCCTTCGGCCACAGTGGCCCAACCTTTCAGCACACCCCGGTCTCCACCTGCCCTGCTTCTTGGGCCTGCTGCTGCTGGGACACTTTTGGCCCCTGACTGCCAAGGGGCTGCCTGTGCTGTGTAGGCCTCCTGGCAGTGCTGCTTTCGGCCATCTTGCTGGGTTGCTCCTGCCTGCTCCAGGATGAGTCATCCCAGATCTATGACTTATGGAGCCCCACTGCTGAAGGTGGAGCTGCGACACCCACGCTGCCTCGCACAGCCAGCACGAGAGGTAGCACCCACCAGGGCCAGGGCAAAAACAGTGCCAGGCTCAACTCATAGCCCGGCGCTTGCGTAAACCTGCAGGAAGGCGCTCAGCAGTCCAAAGGTGGCAGTGGGTAAGGCGGCGTGGTTCCACCAGTGGCCATTGGCAAAGGGGTCTCTGGCAGGCTGGCGATTGGAGGGTGCTCGGAGGTCGTAGATCTCGGCCGACTTGCCCCGCCCCAGGCAGGAGCAGCCCAACGCAGTGGCCAAGAGTAGCGCTGCCAGGAGGGCAAAGAGCTCCCGTGGAGCCAGCAGCAGCACAGGCAGTCACTCATGCCATCCGCGATCCTCCGTATCTCTGGGGGGAGCTCGTTCCAGTTAGTAGGTGCCCCCACAGAGAAGGCTCTCCCCCTGGGGGCCGCCAGTCGGCATTGTTTGGCCAACGGCACCCGGAGGAGCCCCTCTCTATGTTAGCGTACCAGCCTGTGGGAGGCTATTGGTGGTAGTAGGCGGTCTCGCAAGTACCCAGGTCCTAAGCCATGGAGCGCTTTAAAGGTGGTAACCAAAATCTTGAAGCACACCCGGAAGACCACCGGGAGCCAGTGCAGCTCGCGCAGGAGAGGTGTTACATGGGAACGCCATGTCGCTCCCATTACCACCCGCACGGCCGCACTCTGCGCCAATTGGAGCCTCCGGGTGCTCCTCAAGGGGAGCCCCATGTAGAGAGCGTTGCAATAGTCCAGGCGGGAGGTGACAAGGGCATGAGTGACCATGCGTAACGAGTCCCAATCCAGAAAGGGACGCAACTGGCGAATCAGGCGAACCTGATGAAAAATCCTCCCGGTCACGGCTGTCAAGTGCTCTTCTAAAGACAGCCGTGAATCCAGGAGGACGCCCAAGTTGCGCGCTCTCTCCGTGGGGGCCAATGATTCGCCCCCAATAGTCAGTGATGGCACCAACTGACTATATCGGAACGTCGGAAACCACAGCCACTCGGTCTTGGATGGGTTGAGCCTGAGCCGATTCCTCCCCATCCAGATCCGCACGGCCTCCAGGCACCGGGACATCACTTCAAGGGCATCGTTGGGGTGGTCTGGGGTGGAGATGTACAGCTGGGTGTCATCAGCGTACTGGTGGTACTTCACCCCAAAACCACGGATGATCTCGCCCAGCGGCTTCACATAAATGTTGAACAGGAGGGGCGAGAGGACCGACCCTTGCGGCACCCTGCATATGAGGGGCCTCGGGGTTGGCCTCTGCCCCCCTGTCAACACAGACTGCAACCGGTCAGAGAGAAAGGTGGAGAACCACTGCAACTCAGTGCCTTCCACCCCTAACTTTTCCAGCCGGTGCAGCATGATACCATGGTCGATGGTATCAAAAGCCGCTGAGAGAACTAACAGGACCAGGACAGAGGAGCATCCCCTGTCCCGAGCTCTCCAGAGATCATCTACCAACGCGACCAATGCCGTTTCCGTGCTGTACCCGGGCCTGAAGCCTGACTAGAACGGATCTAGATACGTCGTTTCATCCAGGTGCTGGGGGAGCTGTTGCGTGACCACACTCTCAACAACCTTCGCCACGAAGCGAAAGTTGGAGACCGGACGATAATTTACCAACATTGCCGGGTCCAGGGAAGGCTTCTTGAGGAGGGGCCTCACCATCGCCTCTTTCAAGGCAGCGGGAAAGTCACCCTCACCCAGCAAAGCATTTATAATCCCCTGGAGCCAGCCTCGTGTGACTTCCTGGGAAGCCAGTACTAACCAGGAAGGACACGGGTCCAATAAACAAGTGGTCGGGTTCAGTCTACCCAGAATCCTGTCCACGTCCTCAGAGGTCACAGGATCAAACTCATCCCAGATAACATTCTCAAGACCTGCCCCTGTCTCTCCCCCTGAGACTACCCAGTCGGAGTCCAAATCTATATAAATCTAATAAAACACACAAACAAACAAACAAACAAACAAGGCAGTGGCGAGTGCGTCAGAAGGGAAAAACAGGACTCGGCTTACAGCAGCTGCCTGAAATGTGCTTGCAGTGACTGCTGGACACAAAGTGGGCAACCCTCTGCCTCCACCGGCTGCCGGTGCTGTCCCTGCATGTTTTCAAAGGGGGAAAAAAAAATCCTGCAGTCTCTCACCATTGCTGTGCAAAGCCGAGCATAGGCAACAACAGCTGCACCTTCTCCCTTCGAAAATATGCTGGGATGTGACCTAAGTAAGACCGGCTTGACTTACTGTTGAAATGCCTCGTGGCTCTTTCCTGAAGGGAGGGTGGCTCTTCTCTGTGTTTCGCCATCATGTGCAGTGCAAGGGGCAGTGCACAAGTCTACTTTTTGTTTTTGATGCACTCGCCATTCGCAGCAACTGGGACTGCTGCAGAAGGCACCAGCAGCAGGCGGACTCTTGCTTCTCCCCCCATTCTTTTCTCCTCTGCTTCAGCCCAGCCCAGCCCTCCACCCAGCAGCTAAGGATGAGGGGCTCGCCCACCTCTCCATGAGGCCCCTCAGGGAATTTGGCGTGCAAATCAAAAGAAAGCGCTGCAAGTCTGGGCGTCCTTTCCGTTTGTTCCCCCCTCCTCTCTCTCTTGCCCCCTCTCCCTCCCTGGGAACTGTGTGGGGAGAGGGGAAGGCCATCAAGGGGACGCTGGCAAGGCACTCTTGGCAAAGCGTCCCAACTGCCAGAGCCCAGAATTTTAAGGCAGAAAAGTGAAAGGGGGGGGGGTGGATTTCAAAGGCCCTGGAGAAAAAGAGCAAAGCTCTTCTGTTTGCTGTCCGAAGCAGATGCCGAGGCTGACCCTGCGGGAAGCAATCTGCTTCTCCACACAAAACCTCATGAGCGTTGCAGAACCATAGGGGAAGGGGAGCCTGGCCTTCTTTGCTTGCGGAGTGTGTGGCAGAACTGGAGGACTAGGTTGGACCATGGGGGCTGAACAAGCACGGGCTACGGCGTGGCACCATCCCGGCCTGCCCCTTGGCTTCAATCGTCTCACGGAGGCACCAGCAACAACTAGAGGTGTGGGGGTGAGTGGGAAAGGCACGTTATCCGGCCCGCAGCTGTGGGCAAGCAAATACGGACAGAGTGGCAGAGGGTCCACATGGCGCATCTGGTAGGTCAGATTGTGAACCTTCCCACCCACCCGCACCTCTGCCAGTGCCGCTGCTATGAGGCGAGGCAAGTGGTGGGGCGGGGATGGCGCCACGGCGTAGCCCCTGCATTCTCAGCCCCCGCCATCCAACCTGGTCTTCCAGTTCCACCACACACTCCGCAGAAAGACATGCCTCTCCCCACGCCCCCACGCAGGCTGCAGTTGCTTCCACACACCATCTGGCCCCACGCACGTGCTCGGCACTTCCTGTGATGGCCATGCCCATTGCCCCACCCTCCCTGATGACACTCTGAACTCGGGCTTATTTCAGGGTAGGGTTTATATTAGGAGCAGCAGTAAAAATCATGCTAGGTCTTATTATTGGGGTGGGTCGTATTTCCTGGGAATCACGGTATTCAGGCTTTTCAATAAAAAATGTTTTATAGAATTCTTCATGGTGCTCTTCTTTTATGTAATTCGTTGAGTGGGATTTCTGCAAGGATCCTCAAAAATATTTAAATATTCAAACTGGCAAATTACCGTTTTTGAAAAGAATGTTTACCATATTCATAAGAAAAGGATGTGGTTAATAGCTGAGATTAAATTCTAAGACTGTGGTCATATAGACATGTCTCCAAGTAAAACTTGTTCTGAAAGAGAATATAAATTTCGCTTTCAAAGTAAATATTAATCCCCTGATTTTTGCCTGGATTTGAGGCCAAACAATCCACCTTTGGATTAATAGATCCAGAAGGAAGAGTATTTTGATGATGGTTGGCTGGCTGGCTGGCTGTTTGGTAGATCAATTGATCAAGGAGGAAACTGGGCTTATATAACCTGAATGGCACCGAAAGTTCTACAGAATCATTCAAATTGATAAAACCTGCCTAAAATATTTTTTTAGTAAAATGCTTTTTGTTCTGTCCATTTTATCATCTAAACCATGGATTCCTACTAAGTATAGCTACTTCCCTTAGTGTATATGTTTGCTTTGGGAATTTCTAAACAATAGGAAAGATCCTGCAGTCCCTCCTTGGTCTCTTCTGTACTTTTTTTGTTCCCTTTCAGGAGAGTCTTGTGTCCTTTGAGGAGGTGGCTGTGTATTTCTCCGAGGAGGAGTGGTCTCAGCTAGATCCTCACCAAAGAGCTCTGCATTGGGAAGTCATGCTGGAGAATTATAAGAACGTGGTCTCTCTTGGTAAGGGTTTCCTACTCTCCAGTCAGAGATTCTATTTAAACATTTTAGTGACAAAGTAATTCCTTAGTTTGAGGTAATGCCAAACTCCATCACACATATTTCAACTATTTTGGCCCAGATGCTTCCATATCATTCAAGTGTTTTGACTTAATGTCCTTTTCAAGGTTTTTTGCCTCATCAGATAGAGATATTATCATTTCTATACCATGCCATTGTAAGGATAAGATATGCAGTATATATTAGAATTTGGCACAATACCTGAAGACAATTAATATGACTTCTGACAGAGTGATCTTTTCCTTAACCTTTCACTCACTTTCATTTCTCTTTCCCTTTGAAGGTGAGAATGAGACTGACAATAAAGACGCTGGAGAATCAATCAAAGTATTTAGACAAGGAGAAGTAATGAAGAAACCTGCAATTCAAACAGAATTCCAAAGGCAGGAGAGAAACCTGTCAAATATCTGGAATAAGGAAAGCTCATCATCTTTGATTGTTGCTCAGATGCAGGAGTTTATTGATCAACGAGAAAAACTAAAGAAGACATATATTGGGAACAGTATAAGACTCTTCAAAGACACATTAGATGTAAATGGACCCTGTCCATCACAAGCCAAAGGACCAGCCAATATATGCAATGAACATGGAAACAAGACTATTAATGAAAGGACATGCACAAGGGAGAAGCCGTATAAATGCATGGAACGTGGAAAGGGCTTTACCAAAAAGAGTACCCTTATTACCCATCAAAGGATCTACACAGGGGAGATGCCATATCAATGCATGGAGTGTGGAAAGGACTTCAGAACAAGCAATGAACTTGTATCCCATCAAAAGATCCACACAGGAGAGAAGCCATATAAATGCATGGAGTGTGGAAAGGACTTCAAAAGAAACAGTCATCTTAAATGCCATAGACAGATCCACACAGGGGAGAAGCCATATAAATGCTTGGAGTGTGGAAAGGGCTTCAAAACAAACAGTCATCTTAAATGCCATAGACAGATCCACACAGGGGAGAAGCCGTATAAATGCAAGGAGTGTGGAAAGGACTTCAAAACAAACAGTCATCTTAAATGCCATAGACAGATCCACACAGGGGAGAAGCCATATAAATGCTTGGAGTGTGGAAAGGGCTTCAGAACAAGCAATGAACTTGCATCCCATCAAAGGATCCACACAAGGGAGAAGCCTTATAAATGCAAGGAGTGTGGAAAGAGCTTCAGAACAAGCAGTAATTGTACACGCCATCAAAGGATCCACACAGGGGAGATGCCATATCAATGCATGGAGTGTGGAAAGGACTTCAGAACAAGCAATGAACTTGCATCCCATCAAAGGATCCACACAGGAGAGAAGCCATATAAATGCATGGAGTGTGGAAAGGACTTCAAAAGAAACAGTCATCTTAAATGCCATAGACAGATCCACACAGGGGAGAAGCCATATAAATGCTTGGAGTGTGGAAAGGGCTTCAGAACAAGCAATGAACTTGCATCCCATCAACGGATCCACACAGGAGAGAAGCCATATAAATGCATGGAGTGTGGAAAGGGCTTTAGAAGAAGCAGTAATCTTAAATGCCATAGACAGATCCACACAGGGGAGAGGCCATATAAATGCAAGGAGTGTGGAAAGAGCTTCAGTGCAAGCAGTAATTGTACACGCCATCAAAGGATCCACACAGGGGAGATGCCATATCAATGCATGGAGTGTGGAAAGGACTTCAGAACAAGCAATGAACTTGCATCCCATCAAAGGATCCACACAGGAGAGAAGCCATATAAATGCAAGGAGTGGGGAAAGGACTTCAAAAGAAACAGGCATCTTAAATGCCCTAGACAGATCCACACAGGGGAGAAGCCATATAAATGCTTGGAGTGTGGAAAGGACTTCACAAAAAGCAGTGATCTTACATGCCATAGACGGATTCACATAGGGGAGAAGCCATATAAATGCATGGAGTGTGGAAAGGACTTCATAAAAAACAGTGAGCTTACATACCATAGACGGATCCACACAGGGGAGAAGCCATATAAATGCATGGAGTGTGGAAAGGACTTCAGAACAAGCAGTGATCTTACATGTCATACACGGATCCACACAGGGGAGAAGCCATATAAATGCATGGAATGTGGAAAGAGCTTCAGAATAAGCAATGACCTTACATGCCATCAAAGGATCCACACAGGGGAGAAACCATATAAATGCATGGAGTGTGGAAAGGACTTCAGAACAAGCAGTGAGCTTACATGTCATACACGGATCCATACAGGGGGAAGCCATATAAATGCATGGAATATGGAAAGGGCTTCAGCACACCCCATAGTCTTATTTCCCATAACGTAATTCATAGACTGGAGAATCCCCAAAACAAAGATATATTTGGGTGAGAATGTATGCTAATTATTGATTTAATGGGTTCTATGTATGGATTTACAATTTCCGGACTGAACTGTGAAAAGGGGTTTTGAATGTATCTGTATATACAGAACAATTCCTCTCTCACAAAAGGAGCCAGAAGCACCCCAAGTGCTTGTGCAATTTTCTTTTCAAGCATTATGGCCATAGTTTGCTCTTCTGTAGTGTGGTGTGGGCTAGGAAGTCCACCTTTGGTTTAAATAAAATTAATTAAATATCAACTGTGTTGTTTTGTTATTTCCCTTTGCATTGTTACCTCCATAGGCAGAGGAATCTCTTCAAACCATTGGAATCTTCAGGTCTTGTGGTTGGAACGTTTTTCTCTGTTTATTCGTGATCTGTAGATCATGAATGAATCCTAGTATCATTGCTCAGGCTGGTCCAGGTTCTTTCTTGCCTCTCAAAGGCATTTTTGGGTCATAGAGATAAACCAGAAGGATTAAGACCTGTCACAAGTCAGAACGATCATCTAGGGGAAAAAAAAGAATTATGTGTAGCATGGATGAATAAAGGAGATGCATGGGAAGACAAGATAGAATGTAGATAAGAGAAACAAGGAGATTACAGATAGTTCATGGGAGGACTGTAATTAAATGATCACCAAAGAAATTTATATCAGGGTTTCCTGCAGAAATTAAATCCAGAAAGCACACACAGGTAGACTGATTCAGCGGGACTGATTTAAATAAGAAACTTCTTTATATACAAGAATATATATACAATAGCAACACCAGAGAACAATTTCTTTCAACGTAGTAGAAGTTACAGGCAGAGCACAAGGCAGGAGAGAACAGTTAGTTTCATTTCAGCAGAGCAGACAAGCATCCCCAGACTGCTTAGTTTCAGTTTCAATTCTCTGCACAGATACAGAAGCTGCAGACTAAGACACGCCCTTGCTCCAGTCTGTCTCAGCTCCCAATTGGCTGACATAGTTGCTATGCCTATTCATTGGCTCACCTTGTTACTATGTCTTTGCCAATTCATGAATAATCTGACAATTTAATAGTTGAAACTTGCAGTTATATTGAGAAGCTTACTCGGGTTTCAACCAAGGTCTAAAAACTTTTCTGCAGCTTGTTCTTCTTGCCTAGTTTGTTTTTTGTTTTTGTTTTTGTTTTTGTTTTTGTTTTTGTTTTTGTTTTTGGTCCTGCTGTGTAGTTTTATGTGTCGCCCAGGTTTCTTTCACCTACCTCCCTGAAGACAGATGAGTAGCTTCTGACGGATTTCCTTTTCACCTTCGTGCAGCCTAACTTCTGTTAAGAATCATGTTGCAATTAGCTAAAAAATGGTGAGCAGAACCACCTAGTGAATGTAGGCTAAATTCTGAATCATGCATACATCACTATCAAAGATGAATTTTTCCTAGAATCATAAGGTCTGTTCTGTCCTCATTCAACGTTACTCTGTGTGCAGCTTGACATGCACCCAACTATCCTCCAATAAAACAGACCGTCTGCATAGATCTGGATGCTTTACTAAAGGAATAGGACGGGTGAAACTGGAAAAATAGAAATACAGGTATTCCTCAAGGTACGAACCTAATGGATCAAAAAATGTGTCGAATCAGATTCAATTTTACAAATTTTTAAAATCAAATTCATTAATTGAATCAAATGGCTTGTTAAATGAATGAAGATCTCACTTCCTGCCTGTCGCTGATCGGTTGTTCCCACGGGCGATCAGCTGATTCCGGTGCAGCTGAAGGAGGAACTAAATTGGCTCCAAGCAGGCTCACAGAGCTCTCCGTTTGCAGTTTAAAAAAAATCCACTTGCTGCTCATCAGCTCAAGCGTCTTCGGACAGCTGCCCAGATGGGGTTTGGTGGTAATTTACAGTACTCTCAGATTGTAGTTACTTTTTAAAAAAAAAAAAACTTGCCACTATAGTAATTAGCTTAAGAGTCTCCAGCCAGGCTCCCAGAGGGAGATGGGGGAGGAATTTACAGAATTCCCCTATCAGCGCAGCAGAGCTGAACTGGGGCAACAGCTCACGTGCCTTCAGAGAGGGTCCTGGGTGCCACCTCTGGCACACGTGCCATAGGTTCACCATATGGATATAGGGCAGTGACGGTGAACCTTTTTGGCTTTGCGTGCCAAAAGTCCAAGCGTGCTCGCACTATCATGCTTGTGGGTGCCAGTGGCTGTCAATGGCATGGCCGGTGCACATTCGTGCTGAGAGAAGCTGCCCAGTGGGCATGCGTGTGCTGGGAAATAAACTTCTGGTTTCAGGTGCACGCATGCGCATCAGCCACCTAGTCTTCTGGTTACTGGCAAGCATGCATGTGGGATGATCAGCTGGTCAGTTGATCTTCTGGTTTCTGGCACAGCCCCATGCGTGAAGTCCTGCTGATCGTCACACACGCATGTGCACCAGTAACCAGAAGACTAGCTGGCCGATGTGCATGTGTGCGCCAGAAATCCGGAAGGCGACTAGGCACCACTGTGCATGCCAGGCAACATGCCACCTATGGGACCCGTGCCATAGGTTCACCATCACGGGCCTATACATTCTTTCTGGCAGCCCCTTAAAAACCTGTTGCTTATCACACTCTTGGACAAAGCATGTGAGCCATTTCCTCCTTTCAGTGGTCCATGAAAGTACATCTATAGTATGTAGATAATAAAGTTGAAAAAAGGTGAACAACATTTTTACAGAACTATAGATACATTCAGGCTGTATGTGACAAGGAATGGCTCAGAGGGGAGGGGCCAGTCAAGGGACCCCTTGATGTGAGTGACATTGAGTTGGCCACCCCCACCCAGTCACATGACTATGAAGCCACTCCTACCCTCACATGACCAAGCCACGCCCAGAAAATAAGTCACGCCCACAGAACGGTAGTAGTACAAAATTTTAGAACGCATCGCTGGTCCATACTCAGTAACTTCAATGTGGAGAGCTCTAATGGTCATACAGGTGAATAGGGCTGCCCACCTCTTACTGTTTGCATGAAAAACCTCTAGTGTGACGCATGATCACAGGCCAGGAGCCAAAGACATCAAGGCCAACGTTAGTGAAAGGAGAATTTGTACTGAGTTTGTCGGCTGGTAGATCAGCCATCTTTTGTGTTTGTAATCTACCATGGAGCTTGCGACAAGAAATACACCTGGAGATTACCTACTCACACATCTTTTAGCTCCAACTATCCACAAACCAGCAGTTCTTATAACTCCGTGATGGCAAACCTATGGCACTTCTCCAAATTCTAAAGGAAATGGAGTCTGGCTTCCCAGCATGCACTTGATTTGAGAGTGCAGGAGGATGGTTAAATAGGTAGGATCAGCTTCAAACAATATACTTGGGGCATGTTTGTCTCTCTGGCCACTAGATGGGGCTAGAGCATTGGTGGGTTGCCCCCGGTTCGGACCAGTTCTATAGAACTGGTAATAAAACTGGAGGGAGGCTCCGCCCACTGACCCCGACATCATCAGAATGCTTCTGTGCGGCCCTGTTGCGAACCGGTAGTAAAGGTAAGTAGAATCCACCCCTGGGCTAGAGGGCAACAACAGTATATAAAGAGAGTATGTTAGGGCATGTTTGTCCCTCCGGCCACTAGATGGGGCTAGAGAGCCACCACAGTATATAAAGTTATATGGTGTGGCATGACACTCCCTGCCTAGTATCAACCAATACCACTATTTGAGTTCTGAGATGATAGCATTAGGTGAGCTGCTATTGCTTTTTTGCTGACATAGTCATCGATGAGGTGGTGCCACTGCAGTTTCCAATGAGCTTCTGGGAACTTGACGGTGATCTAAGTCAGTAGTGAAATCTGAACTGGTTTGCTACTGATTCACTGGCCACGCATGCACGCTACACACACACATGTACTGTACGCGCCAAAAGGAGGCTTCGGAAGGTAAGTAGAACAGCACGGGGGAATCAGCTGTGGCGCACAATCTTGGGAACCTTTTAAAAACTTTTAAAAGCATTTTTTACTACCGGTTTGGGCAAATAGGTAATAAAAAATGCTTTAAAAAAGGTTCCAACGATCACAGCTGTGCTGCGCGATCATCGGAACCTTTTTTTTTTCTTTTTTAAAACATTTTTTTAATACCTATTTGCCTGATCTGGTAGTAAAAAATACTTTAAAAAGTTTTTAAAAAGGCTCCCAAGATTGCGCGCCACAGCTGTGATCGTGAGAACCTCTTTTTTACTTTTTAAAAGCATTTTTTACTACTGGTTCGCCAAACCGGTAGTTTTTAGCGCTACCGGTTGGCCCGAACCAGAGCGAACCGGTAGCATTTCACCCCTGCTCTAAGTCCGGAATATAACATCCCATTGCTAGCTTCTCCCTTAGGCTTGCTGAGATCCTCTGATATATATCCAGCATCGTTCTGTTGAACAGATATTGTGGGAGACATTGCAGAAGACTGGTTCAATTGCTTTTTGAAGCTTGCTGTTCTTTGTGGTGTGGCTGAGGGCTGCTGTGCCATTTGAGCTATGGTGTTATCCACACGTTCTGAGATATGAATGGCACAGATGGACTCTGGAGTCTGTGGCAAAGAGCATGCTACAGCTTGTTCTTTATTGTAAGGTAGGCATCGTCTCTGTGGTCTGAAGGGAAGAGGGGTGACCCAGTTGTCACTATCTTCTTTGAGTAATCCCTGCTCTGTCTTTTCTAAAGGGAGTTTGTCCTCAGTAGATGTTGCCACCTGATTGTCATCTTCCGTTTTTTGAAAGACTGTGCACCTTAAATAGTTACAGTATTTACAGTAATCCCGTTACAGTAGTCCCGTCTGGACTACTGTAAAGCTCTCTACATAGGGCTCCCCTTGAAGGGCACTCGAAGGCTCCAACTGGTCCAGAACGTAGCTGCGCGGGTGATTACGGGAGCGACTTGACGCAC